GGCATCCAATGCTGTTGGCTGTAAGAACTGGGAGTCACACTTATTCTTGGACTAGTGTGTGGAGCCACCAGTCCTCAGGCCCCTGATGTGGGTAGGTGAGGACCCTGCTTAATGGGCAGGGCAGTGTCAAATGTCACAAATCTGCCACTCCCCCTTATAGCTGATACAGTTGAAAATAGGCTTCAGGTATATACCCTCTTGTACTGTGCTAATGAGGGCCTATGCTGTTGAAATGGGCTCACACATGTCTATGCAGGGATGAAAGGCATTCAAAGTCCATGGACCCCTTATGCCTGTGCCTAGGCAAAGGGGCTGTGCCTGCCCTGAGTTCCCGGCTTAGAGGGGCTGGCAGATTATTTTTTCATGTTTGTTAATTTGTTCCCTCTCCAAAGCTGGGAGAATGGCTCAGGGCACATGATGGATCCCACTTCTGGCCCAGGGATTGCAGCAATCTCTGAAGCTGGACCGGAACCCAGAGCAGAGTGGGGAGGGGGCAGGTAAATGGGAAAGAGGTACTTCCCAAAAAGGTTTTTTTTGTTTTGTTTTGATCTGTATGGTAGATTAGACATTTGTACTTATCTTTGGCCAATTGAGAGCCATTTCTCGCTAGTTCTGGAGGCTTGAGTAGACTCTGCTGCTTGGTCTCTCCCAATGTGGAAAATGGGTCCTGAGTACCACTGCTTGCCTCACCCCTCGAAAACTAGCTGATCCAGCCTGCAGGGTGCCAGTGCTGGCCAGGTCCTCACTGCTGCTGAACAATCTCTCCCTCCCTCTGCCACTCAGTCCAATTCCTCAACTTTGCTTTTGATGTTCAGGGCTCCTAGATTGTCATATATAATCGATTCACTTGTTTTTTCAGGTCTTTGTTGTAAGAGGGACCACAGGAAGGGTCTGACTACTCCGCTATCTTGGCCCCACCCTCTGGAAACCCCCTGGAAGCATACAGTTTGGAGTTACTGCCACCACCTCTCACTCACCCCCACCTGACAGGACAAAACAGAGGAGGGAAGACCTGACCCTAGAGACTTTTTGACTCCTGATGGCATTATCTGAGCCCTGCTCAAGCACACTGCTTTCTGTCCCTACACTTTTCACTAATTTGAGCCAATAAAGTACTTTTTCTGCTTAAGCCGGTTTGGGTTGGGATTTTTGTCACTTGCAATTGAAGGAATCCTAACCAATACCAGACATGTTTTCCTGTTTCCATTTTTCATAGCTTTAATTCACTTCCTCAGGTTCTTTGAATGACTGTAAATGTGTTTTCTCTGGTCCTGCAGAAGAAAGCAGTGAGAAGGTAATACAGCAGCAATGACTGACGTCAAAGCAGATTTTGTGGTTTGGGAATCAGAGCTTCCAAGACTTGCTGAGTAACTTGTAGAACATACGAAACTTCATTTACTTATTTCTCTACACCTCAGATTTCTCTATACAAACAGAGGATAACATTTGCTGTTCCACTTAAGACAGAAGGGAATAGGTAAGAATGTGCCTAGGACTTTATCCTTCAGTGTTACTTATCTCCCAACATGATGATAACATTTCACCATGTCAACCTGTAGCTTTTCATTTTTCTCAGTCACTAGGCTGACCTATGAGTTGGAATTGACTCTATGGCAATGGGTTTGTTTTTTTTTTTTTTAAGGCTGACCTAACCAATAGTGAGGTGGGTAGATTAAGGAAGTTCCTACTTTTGGGAGACTGCAAAAGGAGGAGATTTATGTTTCAGAGCTCAGGCAGCCTCAGATGACCATCCCAACCTCTTCAACAATAGCTGTTTTGGCAGGGATTCATGTTTAAGAGATCATTAAAAGAATAGAAAGCTTCCTTTCTTTCTGCTCTGTGGATTTCACAAATAGGGTCTTGGGACTTGAATTTTTCAGAACCCATTCTGATTCTCCCAAGATTGTGTATTCTAAAATCTACTAGCTGTGTTTCTAGCTACCTAGCCATAGAAAGAAAAATCTGTAGGTTAATTTTCCACAAAGAAGAAAAGACCTTTCAGAGACATTAAGAAAAATGAAACCAAACTAGCAAAGATATAAATCATTTATTTCCTTTCCTAAAATGAATGTGAACTTATCATTTTGATATTTAACTTAATTCCTTTGCAAATTCATCTCAGAAAAAATACTAAATTTAGTTGCAAAAAGGACAAAGAAATCATCTTGGGACAGAAGTGAAATTTAATCAGAATAATCCAAAACATACTTGTCTACTTCCTCTCTCCAGACTCTCAGATTGCCTGCTTTTTAGTGGCTCTTATTGCGTATTATACAAGGTTTTCCTAATTACAATAGGCCTTATCCTAACCTCACCTGCAATCTACTACATTCAACAAAGATTATACTAGATAATAAAATGAACTCCAAACCTTATTTGCCTCAAATAATACTATGGATAGACTAAAAATGTCAAGTAAGGAGCCCTGGTGGCAGAGTGGTTAAGCATTCAGCTGCTAACTGAAAGGTTGGTGGTTCAAACTGACCAGTTGCTCCACAGGAGAAAGATGTGGCAGTCTGCTTCTGTAAAGATTACAGCCTTGGAAACCCTACGGGGCAGTTCTACTCTGTCCTATAGGGTCGCTATGAGTCCGAACTGACTGGATGGCTTTTTACTTTTTTTGGTAAATTGTCGAGTACAATCTTTACCTTAAGAATTGAGGTCTGGAACGCAGAAAAACAAACTTTGGTGGCATACTGGAATAAAAGACATAACAAAGCTGGGCAGAACCAGATGTGGCATTAATATTAAATCTGAAAGCCAGCTCAGTGACACAAAGAATGACAGATTTGGATTTCTTTTTCAGAAAGTTTATGCTGTTTAGACATGGATTTTCAATTTTTTCGCGTGTTTATTTGGTTGGTGAATGATTAAGATCTTTTTACTTCTCCCTTTTAAAAATCTTCTTTTGAGTGATTTAACTGCTTATTAGCACCAAGCTCATAAAGAGGAGATGGAATTAAAATCTGTTGGTTAACAATTTAAATGATACACTTGGAAAAAAATCTGACACTACTGAATAAAGTAAGGTTCAGGGATAATGGTGGACTTAAATTTTGAAAGCTCACTGTTTCTTTTTAAGGGAGAGCTCAAAGCTGTTTTTGTTTTTTAATTCTTCGGGAGACAACAGAAAATGGCTATATAGAATTGTCATAGAATAATGACACAGAATCTGCTTAAAATCAAAACAAGAGATTTATTGAAAGCAAAAAGACAGCTCCAGCTGGGGACATGCTAGCTCTCATGAAAATGTAATCAAACGTTTCAGCTAACAGCAGTTACAAACATATCGGGCTAGACCAGGAACTCCGGCTACAATATTCTGATTGGTGGGGGAGCAATTAGGGAAGCAGAAGGCGGGACATCTCCAAGTGGTAGCTTTAAGATGATTGGCTTAAGGGGTATATGAGGGCCCTTTAGATTGGTTATATGCTAAGTAGTTAAAGGAAAAACCAAAAAGATCTTAAAAATAGTTTGCTCTTTTACATTTAAATGGTGCAGTGATGGTGCATGGTCAATTCTATTTTCAACTATCTTCTTCCTGGAACATTCCGAATAAACTCATTCTCCTGTAATGGCATTCCTGACCCCCATCCTCATTTGACATGAGTCGTCTTGGGGCAGGAGCCGCCACTTAAATAAGGTAAGTGATAGACCAAGGTCTGTTGGGTTCACCCAGCCAGAGGCCTAAAGCCGTATGCATGTGAATGGGAAGAAGTCAAGGTTACCTTCTCAGGAATGCAGAAGCAGGAGCTTTTAAACAAAATGGAGTCAGGCCTACTCCTAGGCCAGCTACCTTGGATAGGCCAGACACCTCTTTCTGAAGCCCTTATTCAAAATATTACAGAAAACTTTTAAACTTTAACTAAAAACATGGGTTTCCCTTCTCCTGATTAGTATTTTCAATGTAAAAACTGAAGCCTTATATTATATGAGCCATTGTGCTCTCTACTGCTAATTCCATGCTATTTCACAGCATATCCAAAGATGTGGGGGCGCACCAGCTCCCAGGACAATGGGGCCTGCAAGTGCTGCAGCTTCAGCTTAGAAAAGCTGGCCCGCTCCAGGGTCTTCCAGGTGTCTCTGGTGAGGCTGCACCCATTAAACAGAAGGAACCAGACAGGATCCAGGATCTGTTGCCAGAAGTAGTTCCAGGTCAAAGGCTTAGCTGCTACATGCTCCAAGAAACAAAAAACTCCTCCCTGAGAAAGAAAACCAATTCAAGAATTTTTAGTTTTGGGAAAGCAGGTTTATAAGATGATTCAAGCATCTGTTTTCAGTGGCCCCAGAGGCCAGCTTCATGAGAAGACAGTAGGTGGATAAATTAAGACTTACTAAGACATCATGTTGGTCAGTAGTTCCATTCTTTATCAAATTTTATAGATAAAGCTGCCAATCTATGATCAATTTAAAGCAATTAAAACATATTTTTTGATCATAAAAGTAATGCATAATAATAGCTAAAATTTAAGCACTTACTGTATGCAAGGCGCTGTCCTTAATCCATATCATGAAATTACTCATTTAATCCTCACAACAGACTTAACAGGTTAAGTGTTATTACTATCATCGTATTTTTACAGATGAGGAAACTGAGAGACCAAGTCACACAGAGAATAAGTAACTTGCCCAAGGTCACAGCTTGTAAGTGTCAGAACCAGGCTTTGAACCTACGCAGTCTGGCACCAGAGGCTGGCAGGTGCTGCCTCATCAAATATGATTATTTTAGAAACTTTGGAAAAATCAGAAAAGTTTTAGAAACAAAAACAACCAATCACCATCCCATCATCTATGGATAACTACTGTTAACATTTTGGTGTGTATACTTTTACATGAATATGTATGTTTTTCCTAAAACTGGACTTGTAATAATGCATTCTGTTTTGTAAACTGCTTTATTTTACTTATGTACTGTATTTTAATATTACTGTGAAACATTGTTAAAATCTTTACACATTTCACACTGCTGAAGGCACCATCTCATTTAACCATTCTCATTTCAGTTGTTTACAGTTTTTCACTATTATAAATACTGTTATGATAAACATCTTTACCCACAAATCTTTGTTACCAGCTCTAACTATTTCCAGATAAATAACTTGCTAAAAAGTGGAACTGCTGAGCTGAAGGTCTGTGCCTTTTTAAAGCTTTTGGTACAAGTCGTCAAACCACCCTTTGGAAAAGTTTTACCAGATTTACACTCATACCAGGAATGGACAGAAGTACCCATCCCATAGCAACACTTTTTTTTTTTTTCTATTTTTGTCAATTTGTCTCTTTGTAAAAACTGGTATTTCACTTCAAAAAATGTGCATATCTGTAATATTATTAATAACTATCAAGTGTTTTACAAAAG